ATAAGGATTTGAGGGAAATTGTTGGGACTAACTTGCTGTTGTAAGAGGTAAGGAAAAGCTGATTGTACGCTGCTCAAGCTTATAAGGAAATTGAGGGGAAAATTTTGGTGCAAGTACTCCTTTTATGCACGGCCGAGGAAAGAATGGGGTGATGTGTGTGTGGCGTGGCCATCTCCCATGCTTGCCACTTGCTATTTGATGGTTTAATACTTAATGACTAATCTCCCTCCTTCTCTTCTCCTTAAGGCACGTGTACTGCCAATTAATTGGAAGGAAACCAAGTCCTTAAGGCTTAGGAAAGGTAGTGAGTACCAATTGAGCTTAAATATATATACACACGGCCTTAAATAAAATTGAGACAATATGCCTTATATCTCACGGCATTAGTAACCCTAATATGTGATTAATTATAATTAATCACTTTCTTTATATTTAATTAAACATAATGCTTAATTATCAAAATTATTCCGAACGAAAAACGGTACGTCGAAAATAATTTTCGGTAATCTCGACTGAACATAATTAATTCCGAAAATAATAAACGATAACATTATTATATCGAAACTATAACATAATTTATACCGATAAAATATCGGGATATTACATTGCAATTAGTAACAATTGAATGTTGATTAGTCGAGTTAGGGTTTCATTGATTCTATGTGATTAGTCGATTGATACTCTTCTAGTTAAATTAGCGACTTTTTGAACCGAAAGGGGAGAAGTCGTAGACTTAGGCTCACATGAGGTCGACGATGTCGTAATTGACTAATCTATGTGTTTTAGATTGAAATACGTGCTTGTTGATGACCCGTCCCTTGTTACGAAAAGTTATTGGGATTGAGATAATTGGCCTGTATTGTATACTCGAACTTGTTCGTCTATGTTCAATCCCTTGTTACGAAGAGTTATTGGGAGCGAACCGCTAGATCTATAAGCGAGAGTGTCAATCTTGAACTGAACAGTTGATAGCCCAACTTTGCTAGAACTTGAATTAATTATCCCCGATTCCCTAGCGTCTCCGTCCTTGTTTCGTTTACATTTTAGGTAGACTATTGCTTTTATTTTATTTCTTAGTTGGTAACCGATTTCCCCCTATTTGATTAGTGTGTTTAGGATTTCTTTTATTTTTATATGTTATCAATATCATTTATAAATTCCGAACCGCCTTCCTCGTGAGATCGACCCGGGGAACGAATCTTTCGATTCGGTACTCGGTAAAAAGAATAATTTGTACACAATACTTTTGACTCAATCGGATGTAAATTTGATGATTTATTGTACTTGGTTTTTTTGTAGTCTTTTACTTGTTATTGGGTTATTTCGGGTTTAAGACCATCGAGGACGCTAAAATGTTTCAAAGTCAGTGTCTGAATTTTGATTTGCGAACTAAGGTTGGAAAAAGAAAGGAATTAAGGCTTTCTGATATGGAGCGTAAGAATTTGATCAGATCAATGAGGAGAAACAACGCAGATAGCGGCCCTGCAGATACTGGGCTAAGTTGTCTCTGAGTGCGGCCATCAGGGGCGTTGGACCAAGCCAAGCTGTTGGACAAACGCCTAGTTCCGTAGGCGTAATAGATGATGCTAATCAAACTGGGCTAAAGCTAACTCCCAAGACTGCTTAATTGGATATGCAAGTCGTTGTCACCTCGGAGGGAACCGAGATCGAGGCAGATGTTCCCAAAGAACAAGAAATACTGTTAAGGCGGCAAAGAAAGAGACGTGTTGTGAACCCTCCTGTTGTGGATGAAGGGAGGACTAAAAAGAATCATAATGGTGATCGTGCCAGAAAGGAGATGGAGAAGAAGGTCGGAGCACAACATCAAGTCGGTGTGGCCTCCTATTTGAAGATTGATGAAAAGAAAGTTGTTGAGCTCAATTTGGCTGAGGGAATAGTTGAAAAATGGAACTCAACTTTCATGTTGGTTGAAACTCTAAATCTACCGAACAGACATCATCTTCCCAAGTTTGCGATGGAAGCTGCTCGGGTCCCTTTAATGGCATAGGACCCGATATTCACGCTGGAGTTTCTTCTCTATCGGGTTCGCACAAACTCAGATATGCCAAGGCGTGTCTTGCTCGTGCTTTGATAAGTTTGATTGATGCCGAAGAAAATTTTTGTTTGAACGCTGCTAAATTGGTTGAAAAGAAAGATGAATTAGGATTGCGAGATGGAACAGTCACATCTTTGGAGGAGGAGAAGGCCACATTGAAGGCCGAAGTGACTGAGAAGAATGACCAACTAAAGATGGCCAAGACTGAAATCAACGACTTGGTCTCCGAAAAGGAACGCATGGCCGTCGAGATTAAAAAGCTCACGGATCAACTAGCTATTTTTTAGCAGACTGCCAAGTCTCGTGAGGAACAATTTCAAAAGGAGCGCGCCGAACACCAACTAATTCGACAAGACCGAGCAGAGAAAGCTGACTTCATCATGCACAGCTGAGAGGCCCATCAAGCCAAGCTGCTGCAGCATGAAAAGAGAAAATCGCCTATGGAGAGCATATGTATGAAGCAGGTCTACAAGCGGAAAAGGATGGCAAAAGATGATGCAGACAAGGAGTACGAGGATTTCGAGTTAGATATTGAGCTTAACACCTGCCTTAACCTTAGGTGGGTCAATTAACGGTTCGTAGCCGGTCTGTACGATGTCGACGATCTAAGGATCCTCCTACTCTGTAAGCTTGAAAAATACAAATTTAAGTCGGAGATCAAGAGCATGCGCATTCCAACCACCAATGATGAAAGGGAATTTTGTGAATGGATTCTGCGTCGAATCACCGTCGAAAAAATTGATCCCAACTTCGTCCCCCTTAGCGAAGTAAAGGAAGCGCTTCTTCGCAAGGCATATGTCGACATGGTTTTTGAGGAGGGAAAAGAGAAAAGGGCCGAACTTGTCGAAGTTTATGTGAAAACATTAGTTGAGGTGTTGGTTGATTAGGGCATGAAGAACATGTCGGAGGGAGAAATAAAGTCGGTCGTGGCGGCATATGCGGAGGACAAGGCAAAGGCTATCGCCGAGGGTGACAAGTCGGCGACACTGTTGGAGGTGCAAGAACCGACTGTTAAAATAACCGACTAAGGGCTCATCATGGTGACGGCTGAAATGATCAGAGATGCTGTTAGGGACAAAGAAGATGCTGCTATGGAGAAGAAGTCCAAAGAAGTCGGAGAAACTTCGGGCAAGGAGGCGGATGACGCCGGGAAGGCTAACTGATTTTAGTCTGATCTTGCTTTTATTTTGC